GAGTTAATATAAAACATAGTACAATGGTATGCTATCATTCTTAACTACTTAAAGACATGTGCTAATAGCTTATTCATATCTTCAAACTTTCAATATGAAGTAAACTGGAATACATTCTTACTGAAGGTTTTTTTCTGTCAAAATTTCACAAAAGGGAATTTTATATTTTTATTTCTCTAAAACAGAAACTTCTAAGAGAACAGCTCTTACTTTTTGGTCCTTCTAAATAAATAAGATTCTAAATGAAAGTATTAGAATACTATTAAAGACGATATTAAATGCATTTGAATAGTGGAAGACAGGGCTATGTGGTCATATTTTTTTTGTTTTTGTTTTTGTTTTTTTTGGCAGAACCGGGGATTAAACTCAGATCCTTGCATTTGCCAGTCAAGAGCTTATCCTACTGAGCCATCTCCCTGGCCCTATGTGGTCATATTAATGTTCTACCTTTGACACAATGTTTAGTTCTCAAAGGTTTTTTAAATTATCATAACTCTGGTTGGGAGATACAGCAGACAATCTTATTTAAGAGTAATACTGTCATAATTGTTTTGTTCACAGTGTATAAAATTTAAATGAATAGGGTAATATTCATGTGCTTATTGCTAATAATATAGTAGACACTTTCCTTTTACTTTTTTTTTTTTTTTCTTTTTGATGGAACTGGGGATTCAACTCAGGCCCTTATGCTTGCCAGGGAAGCGCTTATTCTACTGAGCCGTCTCCCCAGCTCATTTTTTTACTTTTCTTTTTCTTTTTCTTTCTTTTTTTTTTTTTTTTTTTTATTTTTGACACTCTCCAATATTTAGTAGTAGGATACTAGTTCCTCTCAATCCTTGATTAGTGTTTTAACAATAAAGCCCTTGGCTCCAGGCAATGTAATTCATTCCATACATGTTTGTGAGTACCTGTTGGGTTCTAAGGACTACACCAAGTGCTAAAAGAATCTAAAAGTGAGCTGAAAAAAGAAAACTCCATCCCTATGGAATTTACATATTCATAGATGAGACATACAATACAAGATACACTTTAGAAAAAAATTAGGCAGGGAGGGAAAACAGGGAATGTGAAAAGGGAGTTGTTGAATTCCTATCATTTTGTTTAGTGAAATTCTCTATTGTTTCTAATGGGGTTTTTTAAATTTTTTTATTCTTTTTTTAAAAATAATAGAATAAATAACTATCAAAATATGCAAGTGAGGGGCTGGAGAGATGGCTCAGTGGTCTAAAGCACCTACTTGGAACAAGCTTAGCAAAGCACAGGGACCGCGGTTCGATCCCCCAGCACCACATGCCAGCCAACCCCGCCCCCTGGTGGGCTGAGCTGGCCACACACACACACACACACACACACACACACAAATAAATAATAAATAAATTTAAAAAAATATGCAAGTGAGGGGCCAGGGAGATGGCTCAGTAGAAAAAGCACTTGCCTGGCAAGTGCAAGGGCCTGAGTTCAATCCCCAGTTCTGCCAAAAAAATAAATAAATATAGAAGTAAGTAAGTAAAATATTCAAGTGAAAAAGAGAAAGTAATCTATGCTGATTTTTGCATAAATTAAATTATAAGTAAAAAGAAAATATAAAATAAAATGACTTTTTTTACCTGCTTAAAAAAAAAGAGGGAGTTGCCTTTGAGAAAGTGTCAGACTATTCGTTTTGCTAACCAAGTCTTTCCAATCCGTTTCACACTCCTACACACTGAGTGTAGTGCGCCTGGCAGCAGGCTTATGTTTTCCTGTTTTCAAACAGATTTGAAAACACTATTTTCAGAATTTTGTGAACTTGTGTCTTGTGTGAAGATCCGGACCATTTTGTGTCCATGAATAATATACCTGTTATTCTTGTTTTGAAACTGTACCATTTGTACTGTTGCTTGTTACTCGGCTTGTGTCTTTGTTTCTGCCATTTGTTTTTTACCATTTAAAATTAACTTCTAAAAAATTGGAGAAAGTTGAAAAATAAAATAAAGAAAATATCAGTGTTGGGTAGGGCAGCTCTAGTCTGTAGTACCCATGGAAAGAACACGAACTTACAAGAAATAAAGTTTTAAGTCAAGTCCTAAAATACTATTGTAGTAACTTAGAGAAATACTATAGGATATGTGTAGTGCTTATTCATGTGCCCATTTAGAAACATATTCAATCATTTCTAGCCATAGACAAAATCATCAATTCTTTCTATTATCCCAAAGTTTTATTATACAGTGTCTCAAATAGAGCAGACCTGAGTTTCTCAATAAATGAAGTTTTGTTGCATTTTAGTATTGAGTCCAGTGTTTGCCTCTGAGTGGTATAACCCACTAGTACTATGACCCTTGATGAATTAGATGGGAATATCTCAACTTTTTCTGAAATGGACAAACATTTCCATAATGGAAAACCTGCTCAAAGAAAATGATTCACACCTGCTCTATAAATTACCAAAGCAAGGAGGTCACTCAAAGAAAGTCTGGCGGTGGTTATTCTTATTCTTTGCTTCTTGCACTTTAAAAAAAAAAAACAAGGCACAAAGAAGATTCCCTTTATGTGCTCTGAATTGCACAGGTTTATGATCTGCTGCCAATAAAAGACCTCACTGGCTTCCCTGGAAGCCTGAATCAGCAGGAAGAAAACAGCGAAGGCTGCGTCAGTCTTCCCAATGCCTACATTAATGGAATCCTGTATTTCCCGGCACCCAATACAAATGAAAAAGATATGCATGGCTTCCTAAAGGTAAAGTGTCTGCATTGGGGAAAGCCAGTTCTCTCTCTCTCTCTCTCTCTCTCTCTCTCTCTCTCTCTCTCTCTCTCTGTGTGTGTGTATGAGAAAGTCAGTACTTAAAATATTGAGCATAAATAAAATAAAATATTTACTTGAGGTTAAGGAATGGAAAGGTCAGATGACTTCTCCAAAGTCACTAATTACAGGAGATCTGCTAAAAGCAGCAGAATCAAGACAGGAAGCTTTTGGACTATTAAATAAGCTTGTTTTCTTACTAAAATTGATAGTTTTGTGATATTTACAACCATCACATAGCATAATTGCTATCGAAAGAGTTTAAATGACAAAATTAAATTATTTCTATAGTCTACTGATACTCATTCTATAACTGTAAGCATTAAAACTTCATATTAGACTCATTGCACTGTTTGTTAAATTTAATGAAAAGAGGTACCTGCTTACATATGTGATATATTTTACAATATATACACACATATACAGTGATCATTTCTTTTACAGGATATGGGCTTAAGGGTATTCACCAATTCAAAAATTCAAAAACCCCAATTATGTGCACGTGTGGAGCGGCTTGAACACCCAGTAGGATATGCGGGCTATTCAGGTAAAAATATCTTATTTAAAATATTAAGCTAAATTAGAAAAATGTTAATTGTAAAAAAAGAAAGAAATTGTGATTCAGATAGCATAAAGTTCTTTTTTTTTCTTTTTAATAATTTTTTTGGGAAACAAATATCAATGAGACAGTTTCACAACCAAATACTGGCACATTTTCAATAATTAATACATTGCATATTGTTATCTTAGTGTTATTCATTGTACAAGATGCAGACATGATATCCTATCTCCAGATATCATAAAGTTCTTGCTCCCAATTAAAAAGCAAAATAAATCCAAAGCTCATCATATCAGTACTCCTACAGATGAAAATCTGGAAAGAGCACCAAGCAGATTGTACAAAGGGCTACGACACAGGTGCAGAGATGGAAATAATGGAAAGGATTAGCCCTGCTTGAGGAGATCAAAAGTCATTCAAGAAGACTGAGGGCTAGGGAGATAGCTCAGTAGAATAAGTGCTTGCCTGGCAAGCGCAGGGTCCTGAGTTCAAGCCCCAGTACCACAAA